CTGAACTCAGCAAGAGGATTCCCAGGAACCCCGCTAAGAATCATGAAGATACAAACCTCCATGAAATTTCAGCTTTCCATATCTCGTCCCGCAATGATTCTCGAAATCCAGGCAGACGGAGAGCTTTGGCAATGGCAGACCGCTCTGCACCCTGGGATGAAAGAGCCTTAACTGGGTCCAGTGTGAGGAGACCTGGTGACCATTCCCAAAGTCTCCTTTGGCTTTGCTGCTGGCGCCTCCACTCAGGCTGTGCCCCTAATCTCCAGGCCTCTGCATTTCAGAGCTCCGTGAATGTCTCTTCCCACAAGCTCCTGGGGGTGGGGTGTGGGGCAGCAAGCAAGAGCTCTGGATCCCCCCCGCCGCCCCCTCCCTCTCTCTCAGACTGCACACTCAGTTACTTCCCATATCGGATCTGTCTTCTCCGTCCACACTACCAATACCTCCTTCCGGGCAGCATGACCTCTCACCTGATTGTCACCAGCGTGGCCTCTCATCTCCTACTGGTCAGCCTGTCCCACCTTGCTATCCGCTCTCCACACTGCATCCAGAGGGGTCTTCTACAACGCAAAACATCACTCCCGCATTTGAAACCCTTTGCGGTCTCCTGTTGCTCTCAGTACAGAATCCAGATTTCCCACCATGTGTTGCTCTCAGTACAGAATCCAGATTTCCCACCATGGAATGATCTGGTGCCCGATAACCTGCCTGGTTTCATCTTTCTCCAAATTTCCCCTCTCCATGTTCCCCCCCAATCTCCACAACTCTTTATCACACCCCTACACACACTCCTGTTCTTCAATTTTCCTAAAATACTTGCGTTTCTCTAATTATACTATTTTCTCTTTCACGTTGGCCTTAGCACTTGGGAAATATACAGTGCTCTTCCTTCTTCCATCCCCACCACCCTACTCTAAATAACTACCACCTTCTTTTAGGATTAAAGCTTAGACATCTCCTCCTCCTCTGAGAAGTCTTCAGAAAGCCCCATTCCAAGGCTAGGGTAGCCGCCCTCTTCTGATTTGTTGCAGCTCAGTAGTGGGGTTGCTCCCCCCACCCCGCAACTGTAAGCTCTGTCTATCTTGTTCCCTCTTTTCCCCACCTAGCCCCACACTTACTAAGCCCTTAGCAGACATTTGTTGAAGGAATGGACCCAACGCGCGCCTGGCAGGGGGAAATGCGCGGACACGATGCCAACACAAGGTGGCGCTGTGGCCACGTGCAGGGCAGTCTATTCCCGGCCTTGCACAGGCCTGGCTGGATAGTCTGTTGTCATCACGCTGACTCTTCCCTGCTCAGAGAGGGCCTTGGAGCGAGGGACGCGTTTTGCAGTACTGTGAAGTTGGTGGCATGTTTGGGGACAGACTCTTGCTCTGGTACTTGATGCCTTCGTGCAGACCTCAGAAGCTCTGAGTATCGCCCTTCTTCGCCAAGACCCTACCAATAATACCTTCTCCAAAAGCTCCCAGTTCTTAGCAAACTTGATGTTTCCTGTTCTGCTTAACTACCGGACTTCAGTACTTAAATTTAAGATTCTAAGCTATTCAGGAGCTTGCTCCTCAGAGCAATCCTCTGCTCTAGCACCAGTGTCTTGAAAATAGCACACGATAAATATTAGCTATTAGTTGATGAACTGGATCACTAAATAATTAAAAAGCATAGTTAATATGAGCATTTCAAGTATCAGGGTAGGCTGGCAGGAGAGAATGCAAATTTTTTTTCTGAATATAGCAAATTAGACTTCAGAGGTAACTGCTTGCTTCATCCCTGGGTAGGGTCGGCCGCAGGAGGCAGAATGGGGCATTGTTCCCAGACTCTACCCTGATTTCCTATGAGTGGGCCCATCGAATTGTGCTTTGAAACTCTTTTGTATTATTTCACAAAGGTGGTGGAGTAGAAAGAGGCCTGCTTGGGAGTCAGAAGCCCTGTGTCTGGGTGTCGGCCAGGACTTTTGAGCAGGCTGCTTTACCAACCCAAGCCTTTGTTCTCAAGTTGGCCAAAGGAGGTAGCGACACGAGATGATCTTTCAAGATCTTACCGTCCTAACAGTGTGTGAATTACTGTGAGCCACACTGACTGTGGGGCCTTGGCAAGTTGCCTGATTTCTCTGTGCTCCAAATTCTTTATCTGTGAAATAGGAACCATAGTCATATCTAGCTCAGATGGTTTTTTTTTTTTAAATTGAGATGAAATTCACATAACACAAAATTAGACATTTAAAAGTGTATATCATACACTCACAATGTTGTGCCACCACCACCTAATATCAAGTTTCAAAACATTTTCATCACCCCTGAAAGGAAACTTCATACCCATGAAGCAGTCACTCTCCATTGCCCCCTCCCCCTAGGCCTTGGCAACAACCAATCTGTGTTCTGTCTCTATGGATTTGCCTATTTTGGATATTTCATATAAATGGATCATACAATACGTGACATTTTGCATCTGGCTTCCTTCACTCAGCATAGTGTTTTTGAGGTCCATCCTTGTGGTAGTGTGTATCAGGACTTCATTCTTTTTATGGTTGAGTAATATTCTGTTGTATGGATACACCACATTCTGTTCATGCATTTGTCTACGGATGGACATCTGGGTTGTTTCCACCTCTTGGCTATTGTGAACAGTGCTGCTGTGAACATGGGTGTATGTGTATTTGTTTGAGTCCTTGTTTTCAATTCGGCTCCTAGGGATTTTGTGAGGACTGGATACACGCTTACCACCTAGTAGGGGCACAATAAATGTTAGCAGTTGAGGTTTTTGATGTCATCCTGAAGGATGCAAAGAGAGCCCCACAAGGGTTCTTTCTTTTGCCATCTCTCTCAGATCCAGGAGCCAGATTTCACTGTCTCCCCACCACTGGTTTTTAGTCTATGTCTCTCTCTACTCCCCACTTGCTGCTGTGGCTGGTGTGGAAAACCAGAGCAGGTAGAGTAGGGTGGAAAAGGCAGGGGAGAAGGAGTGGAAATGAGGCCGGGGAGGTGAATGGCTGGGCACAAGCTTTGGGCAAGGTGCACTGAGTGAGGGGAAGGGACGGGAAGGATGACTTCCCGGGAAGGAGCAGACCCTGAAGTGCTGCCAGTTCCAGGTCCCCTGGTGGGAGGGCTAGAGTGGGGCCAGGGCTGGTGCCACTGGCAGAATATGGTCAGAGCCAGGAAGAGCCTCAGGCAAGGATGAGTAAGGGAGCCAGAGGAGGCTAGACAGTGAATTGTGGTCTTGTACATGAACACAGGATTCTGATTGAGGCAGAGGGATGCTGGAGGGGTAGAGTTAGGGCTGGAAGCTGGGACAAGCTCTGAGAATTATCAGCTTGAGATCAGGTGACAAAATAGAAAGAGGCAAACGCAGGTTTTAAGACACTTAATGCTGCCGGGAAGGCAACTGATCTGGGCCACAGGTGTCCTTGTTGGATGAGAATTTGGAACATGCTCTCTGTACCTGCCTGACAGGAGCGGAGAGGCAGGTCTCTAAGCATGGTGTGTGTGGCCATCTGCAATTCCAGGAAACCTCTGCTTTTTGTCCTGGAGGAAGCAAGGAAGGCTCCATATAGCTTTAGGCAGAGCAATTTCTTCAGCTGGGACATGACAGGCAAAGGCCTCCTTTGAGTAACTCTTCCGAGAAGAGTTACACCCATTTTCATCCATATGGTGGGAATCAGGATGAAGGGCAAGGAGAGAACCCATAAGTTGGCTCTTGGAGGTGCTCTCAGAAGTGAGGCAGTTAAGCGTGGGCATCCCTGAATTATTTATCCTGGTCTCAAATTTCAGTCTCAGACGCCCTCTCTCTGAAGTTAAATAATGAGAACTTTGTAGGGAAGACCTTACGGGTTATATAGGAGGGGAACAGCCTTAGAGGACATGAATCGGAGGGCTGTCCTCTTTGATGACAAGAATCCCATCCTAACGTGGCCTCCAGGGGAAGTGCCAGCACTTGGCCAGAGGGGGAGACCTTGAGTCAAGGGCAGAACCGTTCTAACATCATTTTTTCTGCACCTTGAATGCTGTTCTTTGCATACACAGCAAGCTCTCTTGCGCCTTCACAACTCATGCTAAAAGAATAGTTTTTAGAATCCCCCATTTATTGGGTCAGTGGGCTCATAGGAAGATCAGTGTCTTTTGGAGCAGGGATGGAACCTAAAGACCATCTAATCCAGTCCTTTCATTTAACAGAAGAGGAAGAGTCGGAGGTCCTGAGAGACCTCACCGGGAATGGGGTGATGAGTCAGAACTAGAACCCGGGTCTCCAGGCTCCCAGCCCAGGGCTCTTTCCACTGTTGTGCGGGTTCTCGGAACTCAAGTCCAGCTCCAGGAGTCTGCACGTTGCTCGTGGACCTGTCAGGAGGTGGTGTTTCTCCGTACCCACCCTCTCTCCTATGTCTGATTATTTAAAACACAAAAGCCAAACTGTAGAATAAAGATATATATTTGTCAGGCGAGAGGGATAGTGTCTATTTACCTTTTTTCTGACCTGAGAACCTAGTTAGGTGTTAATGGACACTAACCTGTTATTCAAGGAAAATATTCTAGGTACTGGTAGGAATCGTTAAAGCCCGTATTGAGAATCTCAAACAACAAAAATTAATGTTTAGACCAAAGAGGAGACTATTAAATGTGAAGTCAAGGGAATATGGAGAATTGTAAATAAAAGAATAAAGCATATAAGGTTGGCTCAAAAAGAGTTTAGAGACATGGGGCTTTTTTTAATGGCCAGAGGAGGGCTTCAGAAAGATGAGAGCATATCAGAGGATGGCTATATGTTTAAAATTATTGTCCAGGATGGAGAAATCAGATGTTTTCAGGACTAGGTAAGTAAGTAAGAAATATGCCAGGCACACCGTTGGTGTAGCTAAAAATTGGAAATTCGTGGAGGTTTGAGACTGTTCTTGGGAAGCGGATGAGAGGGCATGGTGTCAATTTCCTTCGCGGAGAGGCTGCTGTCGCCTTGCCCAGCCGGAGGCAGGTGAAGGGGCCTGAGCTCCGCTAACCTGCTGTGGATTCCCCTCTCAGATGGCAGGGACGGCACGCCATGACCGGGAGATGGCCATCCAGGCCAAGAGAAAGCTCACCACGGCCACTGACCCCATTGAAAGACTCCGACTGCAGTGCTTGGCCAGGGGCTCCGCGGGCATCAAAGGACTTGGCAGGTAAGACCCGGGCTGTGGGGTGACAGGGAGATGGAGGAGAAAGGCAGGACACGGCCAGGTAAGGCTAAGACTAGCTGTGTGACCTTGGGCAAGTCACTTCCTCCTGGGGTCTCAGTTCCTTATTTGTAAAATGCAGAGTTTGGAAGAATTGATCTCTGAGGTCCCTTGTGACAATTTTTGGTTCTTAGTCCCAGATTCAGCAAGGCCCGTGTCTGCTACAAGAGAGTGCATCTACTAGGACCCCTCGAGGTGAAAGGAGAAGTGTGCCTAGGGACTAGAGACACCTGGCAGGACAAGGAGAGACACTCCCTAAAGCTGTGACAATAGGGGCCGGGTTGGGAGAGGGAGGAATGAATAGTGATTTAGGTGTGATTGCAGAAGTTGGAGTGTCACTCTCAGAGAGTCGTGTCTCACTTCCAGCCGGGGGCCCTGGAATTGCCTGGAGGATAGTTCACAGCTCACTGCCAGTGGGGTTCCTCCAGCTCTGTAGGGCCTGTCATCTAGCCCTCTGATAGTGTGACTAGTCCTCAGGACTGAGAAACCCAAGGGGAAGGAGAGGCATGTCCTGTGCATTGTCTCTTTTCAACAGACTACACTGAGTGCCCACCATGGATTCACGGGTGAACAAGCCTTCTCCTGGCCCCGTGGAGGACTTAGACTAAAAAGATTGAGAGTCACTAAAACAGAAATCTCTGTGGCGTGAGAAGTTCTATTTTAGAGAAGTACAGGGTGTCATGGCAGGGAAATCCAACCTCAGTTCTGGAGGCTGGGGAAGGCCTCACTTCCAGCAAGGTCCTGAGCATCAGGAATGTCACTTTCAACAGTCCCAACTCTCAGACTAAGCCTAGTTCTGTCAGAAGCCCAGGCTGTGGGCATATGAACCCTGGTGGCCAGGCTGTCACAGTCCAACTAGAAGACCAGCCCACTTCCCCTCAATGTTTTATCACTCCAGCCTCCACCTCTTCATCCTGGATCTGCATCATTGTCCTCTGCAAACCCCTCAGGACCACCATCCTCTCACTCACTCTCTGGTCCATTCAATTGAATTCCCCTGCTGCGTATGCCCCCTGCACCCCACATCCCCTACCAGCCCTTCCACTGTGAACCAGTCTGTTGTAAACAGGCACCATCGCATGGTTGGCCTTTTGCTTGAATGTGCCCTTGCCTCCTCCCATTTGCTGGTCTTGGCCTTCCCTAGATCTCTCAAGTGGAGGCTGTCTCTTCCCCTCCATGCCTGCCTGAGGGTCAATTGAGGATTAAACACTCTCCTTCAGTCTAACTTCTGATCTCAGTTTATATTCCCCTCCTTGGCTCCTTACCCCTTCTCTATAAATCCTCTCTTTGAAGGACACCTCTTCCTGTTAAGCTCCAAGATGTGCCAACCTCCAGGACACTCAGTGTTCTGTGAAGTGTTGGCTCCTGGCACAATCCTTCCCACTCTGTCTTGAGTCTTTATCCTGGTTGGGATCAGGATGACTCCATCAATACTCTGACCCTTTCACTTCTGACACCAACTTCTGCTGGTTTTCAACAATATGTATTCTTTCTCAGTTGTTTCCAATCACTTCATAAATGTAGATATTTCCCAAGATTCTCATGCCGGTAGCTCTTTACTTCACCATACATCTTGCCTCCTCCTGACTTAGCTCTTGTTTATCCTGGATTGATTTAGCCTCTTGCCATTCTTGGAATCAAGTCCCCTCCTGAGCTCCTAACTCATTTCATGATTTGTATCTTTTCTTTTATCAGGGAGAACACTAGGCAACTAGCTAACTAATCAGCTACCCAGTGGACATCTCTATGTAGTTGCTTTACTGTCCAAAACAAAACAAAAGTCATCATCCCCTCTTGCAAACATGAACTTCCCCTGCAGCCCCTACTTTCAGTGGTATCACCACTCTGACAGTCCCTTGGGTTGGAAACTTTAGAATTATCTTCATTGACCCATCACATATAATTCTCTACTTCTACAATATCTTGCAATCTCTTTTCTTATTTTCATCTCAGTTGCTAAAGTGCAGACAGTCACCATCTTTCCTCTGGATTCTTAATATGGTATTCTTACTGGTTTCTTTCCTTCCAAGCATTCAGTTCTTCCATCTATTCAACCTGCTGTTGCTAGAGTTCTCTTAAAATTTTATTTTGCTGGTGTCACTTTTCATGAAAACCATTCAATGACTTTCCTTAATTTAATAAAGTTCAAACTCTTAAGCGTTTAAGGAGATTCAAAATTCTTCAGATTCTGCCACTAACCCAACTTTCCGTCTTAATTCCATTATTTCTTCCTTCTCAGCTGTCCTCCAGCTCCCTCAGACGTCCCAAGAACACCATAAAAACTGCTGTCCGTCTGAAATGCATCGCTTCTCCCTTCACTTAGAACTATTGATCGTCCTCCTGGTTCTCTCTTTTTCTCTCTCAATAAGTTTCTTTCTTTCGTTTTCCCCTTGGGCAGCACAGCTGGGCTGGGAGGTTGCAGGCAGGCAGCCCTGACCTCTCCCCGCAGCCAGCGCTGGGCTCTCCACTCAGACCCACACTCTGCACTGCAGCCCCGCCTTGAGAACACGCCGGACCCCATGCCCCAGATTCCTGTTGTCCCTCCACCTGCTCTCCCCTGCCCCCAGTTCCCAGCCTATTCCAGGTGGGTTGGGCCTTCCCGGTCTCCTCTCTGGACTAGCACATCCTCTAGATACACTGCCTCCAACTGTGTCAGACCCTGAGTGCCCACTGCACCCTCCCTCACCCACCGACACACCCCACCAGGACCCCGGCTCTCAGAGCCTGCTGAGGTGAGAAGCATCAGGTGGCCCCAGGTTCAAATCACTCGCTACCACTCTGGAAAGGTGGCAGCTGTGCTCTGAGCCTCAGTGTCCTCATCTGTGGAATGAGCCACCTCAAAGGTTGGCTGTGGAGTGAGGATGTATGAGGAGGGCCAGCCTGGGCCCTGGCATATAGGGAGGTGCTAACTCCTGTCCCTGCACCACCTTTTTTTTCATTGTTATAATAAATGTATTTGTTTATTTATATTTATTTTTTTCTTTTTACCTTTTGACCCCCTTCAAGAAACCTCAGTAAGTATCTTAAGGGCAGAGACTGAGTCTCATTCATCTTTGGGTTTCTCCTCATAGGGCTTAGTGCAGTGTCTGACACATTATAGATGCCTAATCAATTGTGAATTTCGTTGAATAACACATGATGGTTGTTTTTGTTTGTTTGTTTTGTTTTTGTTTTTTGCTATATTGCTGGATATTTACTAGGATGGGAGAAAATAAAGCAAAAGGCTGATTGCCCCAGAAAACCTGACTGATGTAATTATGGGAATTTTCTTGGCCAAGTTTGCTAAAGTTTCCCCACGGTGGCTTAATAATACATGCAATGGATTGAATATTTGTGTCCCCCCCAAATTAATCGGTTCAAATCCTAACCCCTAATGTGATAGTATTAGGAAGTGGGGATGTTGGAAGGTAATTAGGTCCCAAGGATGGAGCCCTTATGAATGAGATTCGTCACCTTATAAAAAGGACCCCAGAGAGCTCTCTCGCCCTCTTCCCGCCATGTGAGGAAACAATGAGAAGTTGGCAGTGTGCAACCCGCAAGAGGGCCCTCACCAGACCCTGAATCTACCAGTGCCTTCATCTTGGATTTCTCAGTCACCAGAACTGTGAGAAATAAGTGTTTGTTGTTTAAGCTACCCAGTCTATGGTACTATTAAAGCAGCATAAGCTGACAAGACAATACATTAATTATTTCAAATTTACTTATATTTTACAAGGAAACTGATCAGTTCACTTCCATAGCACTTCTCTTTGGTCATTAATAAATGTGCTCATTAATTCATCCAGCCAATAAATATAGATAGAGTGACCACTATGTAGTAAACAAAACAGCCAAGGTCTTTGCCCTCCTGGAGCCTGTGTTCTAGTCTATGTGATCTCCTTACTCAAAGTCTTCTGTCTTGTTTTTTAACTGAAATGTGAGATACAAAGGAGTAAAAATCTGTCATTTTTACATATAACTAACATAGAGAAAAATACAAGTTGTGACTTGAAAATGATACATTATTTTAGCATTCATAGGAGACTTAAGATCAACCAACTGGTCTCTTATAGGAAACTGAGACCCAGAGAGGTTGCTGGAGGTGCCCGAGTCACATAGCAAGTTTTCGTAGTAGAAGGGGGACTCAAACCCAGGCTTTCTGAATCCTAGTTAAGAACACTATTTACATGTTAGACTGCCAGCAAAATAGAAGATTCGCAAGGCTATACTGAGGAGAGTGGTAGATGGTGGAGGATGAGAGACTATGTAGCAAAGAGGGAGGTCACAGTGGGTGTGATGAGATCAATGAAGGACCTCAAGAATTACCATTAAACACAATTAGAAAATATATTATTTCTTCTCTAGAAAAGGATATGGGTACCCCATGTTTGGAGGTGATCAGACAGAGCTGGAGATAATAAGGCGTGCTTCCAAATGGAGGCTTCCTATAGCTAGCACAGTGTCTACATATTTTGGGTAGTCAGTGAATGTATGTTGAAAAAAATGAAAAACTATTTACATTTTATGCTAAGTTATGGAGCCGTTATCAAGAAAAATAGAGTACAATATGGTTTGAAAAGCACCTACCTACCCACAGTTTCTGCTTTCCTTTAATCAGGAGATGGGAAGACTTTGGGTCTACTAGCAAAGATGGGAGCTTGAAAAATGTTACATGTTTTAATTTTTTAAATAGACTTTACTTTTTAGAACAGCTTCAGGTTTGCAGGAAAATTGAGAAGATAGCACAAGAGAGTCCCCATATGCCCCATCACCCAGTTTCCCCTGTTATTAACATCTTACATTAATATGGTACATTTGCTGCAATTAATGAACCAATATTGATACATTTTTATTAACTAACCTCCATAGTTTATTGAAATTTCCTTAGTCTCTGTCTAATGTCCTTTTCTGTTTCAGGATACCATCCAGGATGCTGCATTATATTTACTTGTTGTGTTTCCTTAGGCTCCTCTTGGCTGTGATAATTTCTCAGAATTTCCTTGTTTTTGAGAGGTCAAGTATTTTGTAAGCTGCCCCTCTATTGGAAGTTGTCTGATGTTTTTCTCATGATTAGACTAGGGTTATAGGTTTTGGGGACCACAGAAGTAAAGTGCCATTTTCATTGCATCATATCAAGGATGCACGCTGTCAACGTGATTTATCTCTATTAACCTTGACCTTGATCACCTGGCTGAGATAGTGTTTATCTGGCTTCTCCAATGTAAAGTTACTCTTTTTCCCCCCTTTCCATATTGTACTGTTTGGAAGGAAGTCTTTTTGCAGAGCCACACCTAGGGAGTGGGGAGTATGCATTCCCTCTTTGAGGGCAGAGTATGTGCATAATTTATTTGAAATTCTTCTGCAAGACAAATTTGTTTCCTCTCCTGTTTATTTATTTATTCAATCATTTATTTAAAGCAACATGGACTCATGGATATTTGTTTTCACTTTGGGCTATAATCCAACACTACTTTGTTTTACTGCTCAAATTGTTCCAGCTTTGGCCTTGGGAGATGTTTCAGTGGCTATTTGACATATCCCCATCCCCATCAATGTAGTTTTTTTTTTTTTTTTTTTGTATGAGCTCTTTACTTTCTGGTACGAGATGCTCCAAGTTCATCTTGCATATTTCCTGCCCCAGTCCTAGAATCAACCATTTCTCTGAGAAGCCCAGTTCCTTTTCAAAAAAGATTTATTTATTTGTTTGCTTATTTCTTTATTTATATTGAGGTAACATTGGTTTATAACATTATATAAATTTCAGGCATACACCATTATATTTCAACTTCTGTATAGACTACCTCATCTTCACCACCAAAACTCTAGCTGCCATTCGTTACTGAACACATGTGCCCCTTTACCCCTTTCGCCCTCCCCCTACCCATCTTTCCTTCTGATAACCACCAAGCTTTTCTCTGTATCAATGTGTTTGTTCTTTTGTTTATCTTTCACATCTTTCACTTAAGTTAGCACCTTCACATTCCCCTCTCCCTTCAGTGAGATTGTTTTAAACTTTATAATACAGCTAGATTCTCTTGTCACAGTCTGCGTTCCTTCCGGAGGTCCATTGACCCCCTAAATAATTTTTTCGTTAATTTGTATATGTTAAGGTTCACTCTCTGTACTGTAGAGTTCTATAGGTTTTGGCAAATGCATAATGTCATGTATCCACCATCGTAGTATCGCACAGAACAGTTTCATTGCCCTAAAAATCCCCTGTGCTTCACCTGTTCTTTCTCCCCTTCCCCTGGTCTTTTTACTGTCTCTATAGTTTGCCTTTTTCAGAATGTCATATACTTAGAATCATACAGTACTTTTTTTTTTTTTTTTTTTTTAAGGTTTCTGTTCTTTTAGGAGAGGCTGGGAAGAGGCTCTCCACTTTTGGAAGGAGAGTACAGAGAAGAATCTAAGACTTCTGTATTTTACTTTGAAAAACCTTGAGAGTGGTTTTCTTTTTAAGTCTTTATGCTTACATCTTGTTCCCTGTGTTGTTTGTTTTGTTTTCTTTCCTTTTTCTGTGTGTGTTTTCTTCAGAGTGTTTCGAATTATGGATGACAATAACAACCGTACCCTTGATTTTAAAGAATTTGTGAAAGGGTTAAATGATTATGCTGTGGTCATAGAAAAGGAAGAGGCAGAAGAGCTTTTCCGGAGGTTTGATAAAGATGGAAATGGAACAATAGACTTCAATGAATTTCTTCTCACATTAAGAGTAAGTGGCCCCATGAATCAGTGTATCTGCCAAGTTTGGTTTTCACATGGTTTCAGTCGGCTACTTTGAGGTTTTGTTTTCAGAAGTTGTTAGTACACTGTGGAGGAGATGGGGAGGGGATTGAGAATAGGTTTAGGGAGTTTTTAGAGCAATCATAATGCATAGCATTTAATGGCACACAAACAATTTCACATCACTGACAGAAATAAGATATTTTATCACGTATGACACTAAAAGAGCTCATTTACTTATGTATGTGTTTTTATCTATTTATCTAGCCTCCAATGTCCAGAGCCAGAAAAGAGGTAATTATGCAAGCTTTTAGGAAGTTAGACAAGACTGGAGATGGTGTTATAACAATTGAAGACCTTCGCGAGGTGTATAATGCAAAACACCATCCAAAATACCAAAATGGAGAATGGACCGAGGAACAAGTATTCAGGAAATTTCTGGATAATTTTGATTCACCCTATGACAAAGATGGATTGGTAAGTAAGGAGCTTAATTTAAATGAAATTTCTTCTATCCAGTTTGTAATTGTAAATGGGAAATAGGTCCAAAGCTGTTAAAAAAAAAAATACTTCTACCATATTTGTTATAAGTAGAAGAGAAGTAAAATATCTCCTTAGGGACCATCTAGAAAGTTGAGAACTAAAGTAGTAAAATAATGTTTGTGTGTGCACATATACTGGTAGGAGAATCACGTTCAGCTAAATACCCATCATCTGGAGAATGTGGTATTTTGATTAAACATTCCATTTTATGGCTACCATATTCACCACACACAGCTAGCTACATTCCAATGAACTAGACTATAATGAAATACATTTCACTTCAAAATGAGACCACAATTCAATTTTTTGGAACATGATTCACAAGGCATTTCAGAATATTGTGGTGTCTTTTACACACATCCTTATAAGCATCATTTCTCATTACACTTTGCTATGTAGAAATGTCATTTAAGGAAAGATTTCAGTAAAGAGAATGCCAGATAACAGAATTTACTCTAATTTAATCTTTAGTAGGTTTTTTTTTTTTTTTTT